ATTCGTTGGGCGAACCCCATGCTTGAAATAGTAAACAAACTCTCTTCCACTATTTAAGCATAAGCAGAGTAACTTTCCTAGACGTTGGACCTTTCAGTATGGGAATTGAATACCGCCTTTATAGAAAAGGCTATCCCCGTCAAGTTCCAAGTCTAAGTTAGAACTTACTTGGACGCTCTGCTCTGCTCTCGATACCAAAAAAACGAAGGATGTTTTGGATTAATGGGGCTAGACATTAGGCTTTCGTATGAGTCTTAGAAAAGGTTGGACCTTTTTCTGTTAACAAGATCGTTTAGAGCGACACAAAGCCAAAGAAAAAAAAAAAGGGAACAGGGAAAGATGGGAAAGAGGGACTATGGATAAGAAAAGATTGGCTTTACTCAATTCATGCGACAGGAAAAATTACAGTAGAGGTTGCCTCAAATTACCATAGGGAATTCATTTCTTGATCTTTGGCTTTGGTGCCAGTGGAAGAGAAAGCGGGGTACGATCTACCCTAGTTAAAATCTAAATTTGAATTGAAGATCCTGGCTTGGAAGTATGAGTCAATCGGAATGCAGGGAATCCCAGGGTTGGTAAGAAAGAACTTATTATTATCTATTTTAGTATATTCTTTTTTCTATTTTGGTTGTCAAAGCGTTAGGTCCCTCGCTCGGAATCAAATGCTATTATAGCAAGACCGATGGAATACAGTTAACCTCTCCTAAACTACTATTCTTTTTCTTTTATCCTATATTGGCTGGTTTCAACCTACCTCTTTTTATAAGGCAACTTGATGGGACTTGCACTGAAAGAGAAGTAAACTTTCCTACATGAAACTCCCACTTACGCGGCAAGATACAATCATAATAATTCAGCACGAGCTGTAAGGAGTCACTTTCTATGGGTAGGCTCTAGTTTCACCATTCTGTTAATGTTAAGTATTCCCCTCTGTATAAACCCTAAACCTGTAGTCTCAAACTCTGTTAAGTTGCCTCTATGGGATTGGGTTTCAAGCCCTAATGGGAAAACCAATCTATCAATTAGGCCCATCAGATCGTTAGAGGATAGTGGGAATAGTGCTTAGCTCGGGAGCTCGTTAGGAAGGGATTTTATGCCGAAAGGGCATTTTTTGGCTTGACCTGAACCGACATCGAAAATAAACTCTTCCACTAGCTGGGCTTAATCCGTATTCAACTGCTGATGCTAGCGGGCCTTAGCTTAAAAGTAGAGCTGGCCTAAAAGACATTACGGAAAAGACAGCCTTTAAAGTAAAAGGTTTGAAAGACTCCTTTTTGTTTGCTCATTAAAAGGAAAATTCTGTAAGTGTGGGGATTTTACCACACCTGTTTTTTAAGCTTATTAGGATTGAGGGTTAAACAGGCTTTTAGCCCACATCACAGGCTTGCTTAAAACTACCTTTTTTAAGTAAGTTTGAGTTATACCGGTGGAATAGGACTACTTACTTAATGAAACCTATCCTATATGACATACCAGCTTCATACTCTTTCTTTTCCTGTTCGGCTTCTCTTCTAGGTAAATTCCATGGAGAAGATAAAAGGTTGTATAGGCAGTCTAAACTAGTATTCGTGTATGGTGGGCTCTGGCTCAAGGCCGAGAGCATATTTTCTTCACGAGAAGGGCAGCACTCCCGGCCCTACCTTTGATTATGAAGAAATGGAAGAGCGATGGAAGAGATCTTCGAACTGGATTGATAGGCAAGTCAAGGTCCGGCTTCCTCAACTTGCTTGTCTTGGAGAGAGAGCCTATTATATATTATATTTATAGAAGTCTGCCATATAAAATCTTTTTTATACGGAACTAATCCATCCACCCTCCCACGGAAACATGATACCCTGGCCTGCTGGCCTATTTAACTGGTTTGATCACTTTAGGCCTAGGCCTACTAGGTGATGACTGTATAATAGGGAAAAGCTTCTCTACTATTTTTAGCTTATCGCCCTACTAAAAATCTTCTAGCCCCAAGGTAAATTATATCCTTTCCCCTTAGATTACCTACTATTTAGAACTACCAGGTTCTCTCTTAAGCGTTAACCTATAGTCGTCCTACCTATCCCTGCCTTCTTATAGTCTTTCCATTTCCCTTCATGGAAATAAATGTTCTCTTTTTAGCGCCGTATACCTACGCATATCGCTTAGCGCTTGACCTATATGGATTAGCAGGCAACTCCCACTCAAACTGTTTTTAAACTTAGATCACTGAAAAGTATTGGAAGAGAACTGTTCGATAGGACTAAGGGGTTATATAGGGCTGGGCTGGAAAGAATGGCTGAAAAGATATTAAGACTAGACAGGAAGGCTTTCTCCAAAACCGGCCTCTCCTATGCATAGAAAGCAAGCTGTAAAGGCACTTGGCCTAGTTTATGGCCGATGTGTGGATCCATTAATAGGCCTTTTGTAGCGGCGAAAGGTGCCTGCTTCTGCCCAATTGAGAAAAGAATTTTGAATAGAGGTAATTTCTTTCGTAAATTGAATTACACACCATTTGGTATTAATTCCCATAAGAAGTCCTGGAGGACTATGGCACAATTCAGGCCCATTTCATTATTGTACGTTTTGTTTACTTGTCTCCAAAGTCCTGGCTAATAGACTACAATCTACTCTTCCCAAGTCTTCTCTCTTGAGACCCAAAGTGCATTTTGCTGCCTTTAATAGATTGATCACTGAATATGTCCTTATTGCTTTTCTTTTGAAGAAAAACCATTTTTCTGAAAATGAAAAATAAGAGATGGGTAGAGAGTCACATTTCTTTCGGAAGAACATGCATGATTCTAACAAATGACAGCCAATAATGTCTTTATTGAGTCTTTCCCGCGATGTTGTGCCTGTATTATGGATCAAGCTGCCGAAACTCCCGGCGAATTCTTAAAGGAAGACACAAAAGAAAGGGGCCCATTCTTCACTTCACGAGCTCTTTCTCAGGCCCAAGGGAATGAATTCAAGTCCCCTAGACGGGAAGGAACATTCCTGGAAGCTCTCTCTCCCAGTTCTTTCATAAAAGGACCCTCTACCTCTAGCTGCTGCCTATCGGGACTAGCATCCTTAGTTTAAGCTGCCTCTTTTTCTGGCTTCGTTGAATCTCTCGGTCCTGCTTGCTTTTCGTTGAATTGACTCCGGCAGCTGAGCAAACGCTCGAAACATAGCTTAGGGAATGCTTGAGCGAGCGTGCCCTATCCCCTGAGTACGATGCCCTAGATCCAGCGCCAACGATCTATAAGCTTTTGGCCGGGCCAACCATTGATCTATCTCGACGCGTTCCGCTGTTTTTCCTTAAGAGATGCCGGCTTCTGGTGTGGTGGTTGGAACTTGTGAAGACCAAGCAACAGAGACGTTATGGGGTAGTCCAAAGGGAAATGACTGATGGTGTAGCCAAGGTTAATAAGGAATATGAGATGCTAGTTCTTTGTCTACGATTCCCGTAATCCCCTTTTTACCGATTCCGATATAGCCAAAGGAGGCTGTGGGTGTGGAAGGGGCCTATCCGCCTCGTCCCTCACGTCGCGTAATCGAGGGGCTAAGGGGGCCTCCTACGTTAAGAAAAGGAATCTAAATCCGAAGCTTTGGTAGCGTTGGAAGCTTTGGAACTGGGACCTCCTCTTTGCTATTGAAGCTATCGAATTCTGATCTTAGGCCTACTCCTCCGCACCTAAAGGAGATCTTTTCCTTATCCACTGGACAAGGGCCTACGACATAAGGCTCCTTCCTACGAACCTATTGACCTAGAACCTCCGACCTAAGGAATAGAGTTCCCATCGGGAAGCCTACTCCTCAAATAAACATCTTTATCTTCATCCACTCAATATTCATTTCCTCGTTCTTCTCCATGAGGCTACTACTCGACTCGGGATTTCGTACTGTTAGGGGACTAAACTGGATCTACTCATGCTGGACCGACTGTGCAATACCAAGAAAATTCCGCACGCTGCCCGTCCGCGGAGCATTCTGGGTAGGAAGGCCGGCCACCACACTACATAAGATAGGGCTGCGGAGAAAGCTCGAAGAGCTTAAGCTTCCCTTGCCCAGTGTTCTGCCCAAGCTTTGAACTTCCTGTACTGTGTAGTTAGCGCGAGTTTTCCATAAACCGAAGAGCCAGGTTTTAGCTCAA